CCCAAAATCCCCAGAAAAAATGTAATACCTCCAACAGATCCACTTCAGCTGGAGAAGAAATAACTTACATTAAGCCTTTTGTTGTAAAGTCACATTCTGGCATGGAGAAATTGTTCCAAACTTAAAGAGGGTAGATGTAGGTTGGATATAAGGAAAAGGCTTTTAGAGTAGGGTGGTGAGGCACTGGAATAGGTTGCCCAGAGACGTGGTGGAAGTCCTGTCCCTGGAGACATTCAAGGTGAGGCTGGACCAGGCCCTGAGCAACCTGATCTAGTTGTGGATGTCCCTGTTCACTGTAGGGGAATTGGACTAGGTGACCCATAAATGGGTCCAATCTAATCCTTCCAATCTAAGGATTCTGTGGTTCTATGATTTGGAATCACTCCACTCCTAAAGATTGAGCTGCAGACACTCTGTCAGAAATGAAAAATCTTTCTTGACCACAGTGGGTTGTAGCTGCTTTGCTAGATGCAGAGAGTCTTGAGAGAACCTTTTTTTCTTTCTTTTTTTTTTTTTTTTTTTTTTTTTAAATCAGTATGTGTTTCAATTTTTACTTAGGAGGTGATTTGGTCCAGACTTGAATTCATGGTATCCTGTAGTTTGTTCTGCAGCTTGCCTCACATTTAACAATGGGTAGCAATTCACAGGAGTTGGCAGATGCACACCTTGGCCTGCAGTGAATTGAATAGTCAGGGAATGGAAGAAACTGTTTGTATTTGCCTGAGCATGGCCCCTATGCCTGTACCTAAGTTAGAGACTGCGAAATCTCTGCTCTTTTGCTAAAAGCAAAAGAAGCTTTTAGCAATTGCAAGAACTCATAATGTTTGACGTGTATAAACTTGTTGTATCAGGGCAATTAATCATACAGTGACCAAAAATAACCCCTCCTTTTTTTCCCCCCTTTTGATGCTGCTCAGGGGGAAAAAAAAAGAAGATTAATCTATAATAATAAAGAATGAGATTGTTATATCTTCCTAAGTGATGGAATCTTAAGCACTCAGTTTACTATGGTATAATCTCAGTTTACTTCCACTAATGGTAAATACTATTTTGATTCAACCATGACTGCTTTTCATATGTTACTGTGTTTCACATAACTGTGTTTCATATGTTCATATGAGTTACCTTACCATCACTACATGAACACAGTTGCAGAGAAGGCAAAAAATGATAATAAATAGTAATGTAATGAAATAACACTGAGGAAGTTCTTAGTCAGCATTTAAAGTAAGGTGCTTGATATGTCTTTAAGCTCAAAGACAAATTAATAATGCACTATTTAAGATAAATTTTATTCTTAAAATGAATCCAAACACAAAATTTGCTTAGGTATTTTCATTCTCTCTCAAGACTTTTGGAGGTGTCCATTGATAAAGTCATGAAAACATTTGACCTACTCTAGTTACTGTTTTATTACAACAGGAAAACAGCCTACAGTTCCACAAACCTTACTGTGAATAGTCTGCATCTTGCCATTGCTTCAGTGGTTTTCACTTGCCACCTGGGGCATAAAAGCCTTCTCTGAACATCTCCTGGATCTGCAACAGGATGCTTCACCTCACACCCATCTGAGCGCATTCTCCTTGAAAATGCCATCTGCATTTCCTATGTTTCAAACGCGTGCATAACTTTGTCCATCCTCCCAACCTCCCGTTTCCCTGTTCCCGCAGCAGACCCGTCAGTTCCCAGCCCACCCGCACGGAGCGCGGTCGCGATCGGTCCCTACCTGCCGGCTCAGCTGAGCGCGTCCCTCCAGCTTCGCTGGCGGGCAGACACTTTCCTTGGCCCTGGATGAGGGCAGAGAGCGGCCGGGTCACCCCCGACGGGATGCGGCAGCGGAGACCGTGGCGACAGCGAGTCGTGTAGACCCCGCACGACTGGCCCGGCCCGAGGGCGCAGGTCTGGCAACAGCCGCAGCCGGGCTGCCGAGCCGTCTCCGGGCAGCCGGGCTCGACGGGCGGGCAGAGAGCCAGCTTCTCCTGCGTGCACGGCGCACAGTGCAGGGGCTGCGGGGATGCGGCAGCTACAAGGCGAGGGCCCAGCAGCGCCGGCAGCAGCAGGGGCGGCAGCCAGCAGCGGCTCAGCAGGGACCGCAGGCAGTTCATGTCGCTGCTGAGGGACCGCACCTCAGCGGCGTGGGGAGCTGGAGGCAGGGTGCATACGTACATCCTGCTAGCCCGAGCCATTTATGCAGCCATTTGTCTGGCTATTAATCTTTAACCTCGAGTTAACTATTATCTGAACTAGAGAAACGTCATTTCACTGAAGGTTCAAGTTCCTGACCGCTATTCTCCTCCCCTTTCACTTTCCTCCTTTAATTATTTTTCTTCCAGACGTGCAGGATTGCCTTTATTCCCTAACCCCATCTCTCTTCCCTACCATAGTTATCAGGGAAAAAAAGCTGTGGAGGGGAAACGGGCAGAGAGTAACAAACGAGTGGGTGCATCCCTTTCCTCTTTGCCCGTCAGAAATGCCTCCCGTTTTTGGCATACGGGGGTCTCCCACCTCTGGATTCACTTTTGCTGCTGCTGCTGGCATGGGAGAAATATCAATCTGCATAATAGGCACTTGACAGAAACCAGTGTTTGTCCAAGAACCCAGAGACAAACGAGGTAGCTCTGCTTTTCTGACTATCATGTTAGCCTCTTCGTCTACTCGTATTTCACCTTAAAACAATCTTTCTCTTTTTTCCTTTGCATACAGAAGTTATCACTATAATGAAAGCAAAAGCATTCAGCCTTCACTGTACTGAGCAGATAAATCCTAGTATTTGCAGTATGTATTGAGCTTGAAACATCAAATTCCACTGTCAAGTTACCTAAAGTAGCATGATTTGTGGTTGTGTGAGGGTTTTGGTTTTTGGTGTTTTTTTTTTTTTTTTTTTTCTTTTTTTTTTTATTATTTTCTTCTTCTGTGTGTGCGTGTGTGAAGATGTGTCGTTAGTGTGAAAGTGAAGCAGAATTGTAGTGTTGTTTCGTGTTTTATTATTCACTTTAGTTTCTATATTATTGAAGCCAGAGTTTTCATTTATAATTTAGTATTTACTGCATTTTTAACTCCCTAACATCTTAATTCAGTTCTTGCATTATTCATATTGGTTACAGACTTTCATGACTTAGAGACTTTTTCACTTTACTACTGCATCTTCTATTGGTTTTCTTTTTAAAATTTTCAGGCACTCAATGGAAAGTTAAAAAAAAAAAAAGAAATCACCATACACAAAAGGTAGCAGCTCTCAAAACTCACTTGCATTTTTAAGCATACTGAACAAAACATTTTAAAAGAATTCTTTGGATTTCACATGTCTGTGAGTGAGAGTAGGCTCTGTCTGAAAACCCAGTGCATGACAACTTGTGCAGAAAAATTCAGCAATTAGGCTTTCCAAGCTCTAATGATTATTTTCCCTTTTTCAAATTTTTTTTTTTTTGCATGTATATCTATAATGGAAAATGATGATTCTTCTATCAGTGTGTGAGGAGAAAATATATATAAAGATATATTTTCTCCCTCCTTCAAAGAGAAAAAAAAAATAGGCAAAGTCCCTTGCACTAAGGACCGTATATATATGTGTGTGAAATGTAGAACCATCTGAAAAATACAGAGACCCGAATATCTCATATGCATCTGTAAATGCATATGCATGCATTTTCTCACTTGTCTACAAGGGATGCTCCGAAAGTAATGCCTCCTATTTCATTATATTGACCCATGACATCAGAAGTGGATGTTGGTGGTATGGCAGTAGAGGCTGAATCTTCCACTGATTTTCCGTTAAATTTTGTTTCTATGCAACATGAGGAAACAGAGAGGCAGTCTGACAAAATGGTGTCTGACATGGAAGCGCATATGAAGCAAAGGTATATAATTGAATTGTTCTTTGCAGAAAAAAAATGAAACCCATTCACATTCACTGACACTTTACTGAGACCAAACAGTGAATATTCACACAGTGAGGGGCTCATTTCAGCAGTGGTGATGGTGCCAGTGCCAATAGATCACCATAGCTGATGTGCAGGCTCTTGTTTATCATTGGTGAAAATGCACAGCTAATAGTGGTGACTATGTTACCAAGTAGTGTTATTTTATTCTTTATATCTACTGTAGTTTCTTTGGAGCAACCTGCTTATACATGTCTCTGCTCTTTTGAAAGTCTTCATTGAAACAGAATGCAGGATCAGACTTTTACTGACTGCCTTACGTAGGCTTACTGCCAATAAAATGACTGCTCCAGAGTGACTGCCTTCCTTGCATTTTTCCTTCCTTTGCTTTTAAAAAGAAAACATGAACTGAGAAGAAATTGCTCCTAGTGATACATATAAAGCACACTCTTTAAAACTTTTGATGTTGTTGTAGTTGTTGTTTTAAACACATTACCACATCACCATCATTTTTCCTTCACTGGATAAAGAGAGGAGCATAGTACTTCAGTCCTTGTCTGAAGTACAGGACTACATCACAAAATTTTCACTAGTTTGAATGGCAGTTCTTCTTTGGAAGGTACAGTTGCAGTTTTGGTCTTTGTCATATTTCTCACAGAATCAACTGGATTGGAAGGGACCTTTAAGATCACCTGGTTCCAATCCCCACTATAGGCATGGACACCTCCCTCTAGATCAGCTTGCTCAAAACCCCATCCAGCCTGGCCTTGAAATGCTTCCAGGGAGGGGGCATCCACAGCCTCTCTAGGCAACCTGTCTCAGTGTCTCATCACCCTCACAACAAAGAATTTCTTCCTAGTATCTAGTCAAAACCTACCCTCTTTCAGTTTAAAGCCATTTCCCCTCCTCCTGTTGCTACCTGCCCTTATAAAAGGTCCCTCCCCAGCTTTCCTGTGGGCCCTCTCAGGTACTGAAACGCTGCTATAAGGTCCCCCTGGAGCCTTCTCTAAGCTGAAGAGCACAATCACTCTCAGCTTGTCATCTGAGGGCAGGTGCTCCAGCCCTCTGAGCATCTTCATGGCCTCCTCTGGACTTGCTCCAACAGCTCCATGTCCTCCTTGTGTTGGGGGCCCCAGAACTGGACACACTACTCCAAGTGGGGTCTCACCAGAGCAGAGGAGAGGAGCAGAAGCACCTCCCTCGACCTGTGGTCATGCTTCTTTGATGCAACCCAGGATATGATTGGACTTCTGGACTGCAAGCATACACCGCTGGCTGATATTGAGTCTTTCATCAACCAACACTTTCAAATCCTTCTCCTCAGAGCTGCTCTCAAGCCATTCTCTGCACAACCTGTGTCCGTGCTCGGGATGGCTCTGACCCAGATGCAGGACCTTGACTTGTCCTTGTTGGACTTGATGATGTTGGCATGGATGTGTTTGACAGGTGGGCCCAGGTTTCTCTGGATGGTATCCCTTCCCTCTAGTGTGTCAACTGCACCACTCAGCTTGGTGTTGTCTGCAAACTTGCTGAGATTGCACTTGATCCCACTGTCCATGATGCCAACAAAGCTATTAAATTGCACCTGTCATAGCACACATCCCTGAGGAACACCACTTGTCACCTGTCTCCACTTGGACATTGAGCCCAACTTCCCTCCAGGGCTTTATCCCATGTGACCCTGTCAAGCAGTTCCCTGAAGAGTTCGGTCTGCTCTCTTGAAGTCCAGAGTACCAAGCTTGCTGTGCACCATCTTTGATGATCTAAGGGTCCTGACCTCCTCCATTTTGTGTCAGTGCAGTCAAGACCGCCCTTGAGCTTCACATTACTCAAAAGCCACTTTCAATGGTGAGCACAAGGTCCAGCATAGCACTTTTTCTTGTGTGTTCCTTTACCACCTGGAAGATGAAGTTATCACCCACACGTTCCAGGAATCTCTACAATTTCTGGTGCCCTACTATGTTGTCCCTCCAACAGATATCAGGGTGGTTGAAGTTCCCCATGAGTACCATGTTTTGCAGATGTGAAGCTTCTCCTATCTGTTTATAGAGGGCCTCATCCACTGGGTCTTCCTGATCAGGCAGTCTGTAGCAGATTCCCACTACAATGACTTCTTCCTCTGCCTTCCCTTTCTCTTTAACCTAGCCCATAAACTCTGTCAGCTCCTCTTCTATCTCCAAGTGTAGTTCCAAAGACTCCAGCTGGATGTTGATGTAGAGGGCAACACCCCCTCCCTTCTACCCCTGCCTGTTTTTCTTAAAGCATTTATACTCATCTATTTCTACATTCCAGTCATGAGAGCCATCCCACCACATCTCAGTGATACCAGTGACATCATAGCACTTTGGGCACACACGTGCCTGCAGCTCTTCCTGCTTGTTCTCCATGCATCAGTGTATCAATGTATTTGTATCATGTATCAGGCATTTGAGTTGGGCTCCCATTGAGGCTGATTCACCAACTGGAGTTGCCTTATTCTGTACTTTAGGTGCTGTCTTACTGGCCTGTGATCCAACTCAGAAGCTCCCTCAGAAGACCAGATTTCCCAAACTAGTTCCACGACATAAATAGCCAAAGCCCTGTTCATGATACCACTCCCTTAACCATGAATTCATTTTCTTAATTCTATCAGTCATTTTCCTCCCCACTCCCCTAACTGAGAGGATTGAGCACTGTCTGTGCTCCTTAGCCCTTCACTGCTGCTTCCAGCTCCTTGTAGTCCCTCTTGACATTCTCCAGGTTGCTAACAGCTGTGCCGCTGGTGCCTACATGAAACAGCAGCAGTGGGTAGTAAGTAGTCCATGAGATGTGCAAGGTCTGGCAGCCTCTCTGTCACATCCTTGATGCAGGCTCCTGGCAAGCAGCAGACCTCTCTAGATAGCAGGTCAGGACAACAAATGGGTGCCCCTGTACCCCTCAGAAGATAATCACACAGCACTATCACCTGGCACTTTTTCTTAGCTGCAGTAGCTGCTATGTAATGGGGAACAATCTGACTGCCTCTCTCAGCTCTGATGACTTACCTGTTAGAGTTTCTTGTTCCTTCTCAGTCTGCAGAACCACAGAGCAGTTCTGCAGAGGCACCTCTCAATTTGGGGCAGGCTTGTTCCTCCTGTTAGTCTTTCTTGTGGCAATATGCCATTTGTCATTACTCTTGCCTTCCCCTCCAACTGGATGTGCCAATGGAGAAGTTTGGGGCTGTTTGGCCCTGGACTGTGGATTCAATGCAGACTGCATGTGAATCTGGCTGTCTTCTTCTAGCTCTGCCTCCCTGACAGCATACAGCTTTTTGGCTGTCTCC